CTAATGTTTTGTATTTTTAGTAGAGACGGGGTTTCACCGTGTTGACCAGGATGGTCTCGATCTCTCGACCTCGTGATCCACCCGCCTCGGCCTCCCAAAGTGCTGGGATTACAATACTTTTTTTTGTTTTAAGATGGAGTCTCGCTCTGTCACCCAGGCTGGAAGTGCAGTGGCGCTATATCGGCTCACAGTATTCTCTGCCTCCTGGGTTCAAGCAGTTCTCTGCCTCAGCCTCCAAGTAGCTGGAATTACAGGCACCCGCCATCACGCCCTGCTAATTTTGTGTTTTTAGCAGAGACAGGGTTGCACCACGTTGACCAGGCTGATCTTCAACTCCTGACCTCAAGTGATTGACCTGCCTTGGCCTCCCAAAGTGCTGGGATTACAGGCGTGAGCCACCGTGCTTGGCCTTTATTTTTGACACAGGGTCTTGCTCTGTCACCCAGGCTGGACTGCAGTGGTGGGATCATGGTTCACGGCAGCCACAATCCCCTAGGCTCAAGGGGTCCTCCCACCTCAGCCTCCCCAGTAGCCAGAACCACAGGCGCACACACCACCAGGCCTGGCTAATTTTTTTTATTTTTTTGTAGAGACAGGGTCCGCCTATGTTGCCCAAACTGGATTTATTATTTTTTTTTTGTCTTTTTGTTTTTTTCATTTTTGTGGAGAACGGGGTCTCGCTATATTGCCCAGACAGGTCTTGAACTCCTGGGCTCAAGCTATCCTCCCGCCTCTGCCTCCCTAAGAGCTGGGATTACAGGCGTGAGCCACAGCGCCTGGCCCAAGCTGGATTTAAACTCCTGGGCTCAAGCAGTCCTCCTGCCTTGGGCTCCCAAAGTGCTGGGATAATAGGGATGAGCCTCCACACCCAGGGACCAGGGCAAACAATACTGCACAGGACGGCAGTGTCCTTGAACTCCACCAAGAATACACCATGCAGGCTCTGCTTAAACACCATGCTTGACCACAGTGGCCCACGGGGGAGAGGAGTGACATGCAATGTCCCAACTTTTTCTTTAAAGTCGATCTTATCTAGGGTGACTCATCACCCAATCGAGGTGTCAGTGTGAAAGGGGCACCATTAAAAATTAATGCTGGGGCCGGGCTCAGTGGCTCAATCCAGCACTTTGGGAGGCCAAGGCAGGCAGATCATGAGGTTCGAGACTAGCCTAACCAACATGGAGAAACCCCGTCTCTATAAAAAAAAATACAAAATTAGCCGGGTATAGTGGCGCATGCCCTTAATCCCAGCTACTCGGGAAGCTGGGTAGCAGGGAGGGGCCTCCCCAGTTCCCCCACCCACTCCCACCACACTGTTGGCCACAAGCAGCCTGACTCTGGCCACCTGGCCGTGCAGGCAGGGACAGATCACTTGGACCCAGGAGGCAGAGGTTGCAGTGAGCTGAGATCACGGCACTGCAATCCAGCCTGGGCAAAAGAGTGAGACTCCATCTCGAATGAATGAATGAACCCAGCCAGCCAGCCAGCCAGCCTAGGCAACAAGTCCCCCATCACTTAAAAAAAAAAAGAAAGTTGCCGGGCGCGGTGGCTCACGCCTGTAATCCCAGCACTTTGGGAGGCCAAGGCGGGTGGATCACGAGGTCAAGAGATTGAGACCATCCTGGCCAACATGGTGAAACCCCGTCTCTACTAAAAATACAAAAAATTAGCTGGGTGTGGTGGCGCGTGCCTGTAATCCCAGCTGCTCAGGAGGCTGAGGCAGGAGAATTGCCTGAACCCGGGAGGCGGAGGTTGCGGTGAGCCGAGATCGCGCCATTGCACTCCAGTCTGGGCAACAAGAGCGAAACTCCGTCTCAAAAAAAAAAAAAGAAAAGAAAGTTGGCCGGGCACAGTGGCTCACACCTGTAATACCAGCACTTTGGGAGGCCAAGGTGGGTGGATCACCTGAGATCGGGAGTTTGAGACCAGCCTGATCAACATGAGAAACCTCTCTACTAAAAATACAAAATTAACCAGGCATGGTGGCACATGCCTGTAATCCCAGCTACTCAGGAAGCTGAGGGAGGAGAATTGCTGGCACCCGGGAGGCAGAGGTTGCAGTGAGCTGAGATCACGCTATTGCACTCCAGCCTGGGCAACAAGGGTGAAACTCCGTCTCAAAAAAAAAAATTAATACCAGGAGAACAGGTGTGCCCAGTTTGCTTTGCCGCCTTAGTCTTAGGAACTAGGAACAGGGAGCAGTGCTCCAGGCTGAGCGAACCGCATTTACAGAGTCTCCGATGCAGGAACGTGTTGGTGGCCCAGTGTTGGGGGTCGCAGGCCTGACACCCTTGCCTGATGAGTTTCAGGAATCCTGGAGTGTTTCAAGTCAGATGTGCTTGGGGTGTGGGAGGTTGGTGACAGGGAGTCACCTTACGAGCAGGACAGGCTGCTCTGTTCCACACTGGCCTGGCACTTTTGGTGGGGTGGCCTTGGACACCAAGACCCTTTCCCCCCAGGGAGGACATCACCTACCGGTTGCCGGAGCTGGACCCAAGGGGCTCAGATGAGGAGAACCTGGACTCAGAGACGTCGGTCAGCACCGAGAGCCTGCTGGAGGAGCGGGCCGGGCGGGGGGCCTCGGAAGGTCAGTATTAAGGTAGCGTCTGCTTTTCTCCTTCCCGTCCATCCCAGCAGGCCCCAGGGCAAGGGTCCTCTGGCTGCTGGCCCCAAAGCTGCAGTAACCCTGCCATCTGTCTCTCAAAAGGGCCCCCTGCGCCTGCTCTCCCTTGCCCCGGCGCGCCCGCCCCGAGCCCCCTCCCCACCGTGGCCGCCCCTCCACGTCGAAGGCCGTCGTCCTTCGTAACAGTCAGAGCGAAGACCCCCCGGCGGACCCCCATCATGCCCACGGCCAACATCAAGCTCCCACCAGGCCTGCCCTCCCACCTGCCCATCTGGGCACCGGGTGCCCGGGAGGCGGCTGCCCCAGTGCGGCGCCGGGAGCCACCTGCCCGCCGCCCGGACCAGGTACATTCTGTGTACATCGCACCTGGGGCAGACCTGCCATCACAGGGCGCCCTGGAGCCGCTGGACGAGGACGGCCAGCTACCTGGGGCCAAGCGGAGGTACTCGGACCCCCCAATGTACTGCCTGCCCCCCGCCTCGGGCCAAGCCAATGGCTGAGGACCACAGCTGACAGTCCGCATGACCGAGGTGGGCCCCTGGGCCGGAGCTGAGCGCCAGAGCTGCAGAGCTCATGTTTGGCCCTCAGAGAAGGATCCAGAATCAAAAGCTCAAGAGCAACGTGAGGTGGGCATCGGCCCCAAGTGCAGAGTCAAGGCAGGGAGAGGCTGGCTGGAGCCAGACCCCCTCACGCCTGGCCCCCAAATCGCCGACGTGCCCCCGGGGTGCGCCCCATCTCTGCAGGTGGCCTCACGGCTGCCCACTCCCCTTGAGTATGTTTAACTGTTTCTTTGTATGTGGTATACGTAACTTTAAACTGTAACAGCCTTAATGGAAGACCAAATGGTTTTTTATATGTGTATGTACAGTTTTCTATTAACGCTGCCCGTCTCCCTTGTAACCTGGAGGTGAGCTGTCAGAGCGGAGGCCACCGGGCCACTGCCCGTCTGAGGCTCAGACTCCCGCCGTGGTTGGCTTGGGGTAGTCAGCGGGCTGGGACCCTCCATGAGAGTTTTGGACACTTGGGCTACCTGATCTGCACCTGTGTGACACGTGTCTCCAGGGGACAGCCATCTGGCCGATGTGCATTTAAGGACATGCTGGAACCGTCCATGGGGGTCTGGGCTATTGGCTGGAGCCAGGACATGAGACAGGGGCACCACGGACCTCACGTGCCAGGGAGACTTGAATGTGGTTGTCACTTCCGGACGCCAGGGGCTGGCTGCAGGAGGCTGCTCTTGGCACTACCCACACTGAGTGACAGAACAGGAGCTTGTGACCCAGGACTGCTCACAGGCCAGAAGGGCAAAGCCTGAAGTCAGACCTCCTTACAGGTCAACAGGGACAGCCTGGGTATCTCTGGGGCAGGGCCCTCCTCTCTCAGGCCCGGCCCACCAGACACCTGGACACATGGCCACAAATCTGGGACAAGGAACCCCCTGCACAGCGCGAGAAATAAAAAGTGCCTGAGAAGTGTGTGTGTGGGACACCTGCTCACGTGGGATCGGGGTTGGAAGAGCAGGGCCGGCAGGTGGGGGTCTGGCCTGCGGCCTCAGCCAAGAGGGGTGCAGGACAAGGGTGGGACACTGTCCTCACATCTGCCTTGACCCTCCAGCAAACAGGGAGCTCCCAGCAGATGAGGAGCACCTGCTATCCTGGAAGCTGTCTCTGGCTTCCCTGTTTCAGTGCCCAGCTGAGATCTAAATGTCCGCTACAGCAGCCACTCATCTGGTGGAGGGGCCAGTGCCTGGTGGCCCCAGCGGAACAGGGACAGATGGGCTCCCAGGCTGCCATCGGATGGGAGTCGTGGGAACTGGCTGGCTGGTGTTAGTTGGGGGGAACATGAAGAACCCAAGTCCAGACCGCACATGCTGGAGGCTGCAGGGCTTGTCCAGGGCCACACAGCTGGGAGGGGCATGGCTAGGATTTAGACTGCCCTGTCAGCCTCTAGAGGCCCCTTTTGTGGACCCTGGGTTTGGTCTCCATAGTTTGTTGTCGTGGGGGTTTTTTTGGTTTTTTTTTTGTTGTTTGTTTTTTGAGATGGAGTTTCGCTCTTGTTACCCAGGCTGGAGTGCAATGGCGTGATCTCGGCTCACCGCAACCTCCGTCTCCTGGGTTCAGGCAATTCTCCTGCCTCAGCCTCCTAAGTAGCTGGGATTACAGGCACGCGCCACCATGCCCAGCTAATTTTTTGTATTTTTAGTAGAGATGGGGTTTCACCATGTTGACCAGGATGGTCTCGATCTCTTGACCTCG